CAAAAATATGTTCAAAACTCGATTGCTACATAGATTTTAATTGTTGTCTGTTTGTGTGTGTGTTAATTCCCCTTATTCAAAGTGTGAAAACAGGGCCGGCAGCGCATTGGAGGAAAATGTCCCCATCACGGGGGACGGGCCAAAAGCTAGTGGTTCCATTTTAGGGAATGGGGAGACTCTCGACCGGGACCTTCCTTCTGTGGGAACAGATCACCACTGCGATCCCGGTAAAGACGAGCGGTGGAATCGGTGTTCACCATAGTTCTACCTGCATTCCACTTCCATGATTCTTGGAGTCTACTTATGTCGAGTTTAGTCTTAACCTGGGCATCTGAGACCACCCAACAAACGCAGCGAGACAGTCGCGGAGCAGGCCCGCGGGCACCGCCTGCTCGTGGAGCAGGCCCTGGTATTCCTTCAGTACTCGATAAAGCTGGTCATGGATCTCCTGACAGTCAGACCGGCAATTCACCTACTTCCACACTTCAGAAGGCTGGTCAGTCAGTATGTCGTGTTCACATCACCATCCGGTCAGCCAAAGGAATTAGAGTTTACCCACCGGCGACGCAAAAACTGTCAACCTGAAACAGGCTGCGTAGCCATAAGCCCTCTATTCAATACAAGAGCGAACAAATGGGCTGAGCATTCAGTAGGACGCTACGAACGGGGCTCCTGGCCTTACTAGGAGCGATCGGACGCTACGAACGGAGCTTTTCAGTGCATGTGACACCCACGCGTTTCTTCACACCCCGAAACGACCGGTCTCACCTCGACCACACCGTGCTCCGTCCGGGCACACCCGGGGGGCGCCTGCTTCGCTTGTTCGGCTTCTTGTTCTTCCACCAGACGCCGGTAGCGGTCATTCAGTACGGAAAGCTCCTGTGCTTTCGTGTTTTCGGGTCAACGCAGATCGGGGTAGACGTTGGACCTGGAGAAACCAACCAAAGAAGCTGGATGGTCCGGTTGCTTCACAGCAGAACACGGGTTGAATCCTCATGGTTGATCATCAATTAAGGTTTTGACCCAACAAGATCAAGCAAAACTAGGTGCTTAAAGAAGATCCTCTTGCTGGGTTTGTGTTCCAAGTAAGTTGTTCAAAGGTCAAGGCCTTCCAGCAACGCTAGCACTCTTTTTGGAGGAGAAGTTCTGGACCTCTGACAGGGCCCTTTTCGATTGCACACTGTGTGGTGTGAGAGTGTAGGTGCTCTATTCCCATCCAACTATTCCGTTTACCGCTCTCAGCTGGCTTTGCAAGCCATCTTCCCTCTTTGGTATTGAAAGCATGGTAAGCTACTGTAGGTTTGGGTGGTATTGAAAGAAAGACTGTAGACTGTAGACCATCCTTAAGACCAGAACTCTGGCCCAAATGGGTCGACTTTTACGGAGATCCGATGTTCATTCTCCCAGGGAGGTCTCCCTATTTGAGCTGAACACTTAAATGGAATGCCACCAGAATCTTTGGAGGTCAAAACCTGCGGGAGAACACGCCGCGCGAGCTGTGCTGTGTGAGCTACGGTGCCCGCCATGCAGCAATTCGTAGCCCCGAAAACAAACAATATGTGTCTTCCAGGGAGAACGCTGCAAAGTCCTAATTGAGTGGCTGCTCTGGCCACAACTACTCACAGGAAAATGGGCTGCGTAGCCGGAAAAGGCCAGCCCGGAGAGAGGGGCCCCGGGACCTCAGCTTTCCGGTGGTTCGGTGTGGTTCACTGGTTGGTGCAAAGGTGCAGCTCGTTGTCTTCGACCTCTCCTGCTTCTGTTCAGGCGAGTAGGGCAGAATCGTGGCACCCTCGGCGTGTCTCGGAAGAATTCGTGTGTCTGGGAAATTCATAAGTTGATGGAGAAACATGGAGAAACATGACATGACCTGGAAGTCTTTGGCGATGAGCGATCAGCCAGGAACTCATGGGGTTCTAATGATTCTAATGGTCTACTAGATGAACTCCTTTTCTTGCAGTTCCCATGATGCTGGGGGAATCCAAACAGAACCTCCGCCCCAAGCGAGGCAACCACTCAGACATCTGGGAAGATTAAGATGGAATCTGAAAATGGACTTCCTGGAAGACTTTTTCCTCTACAACCCAGTGGTTTTCAGGTTCCATGCTAATCTTCCAGAGGTAAACCAATCCTCACATGACTTCAGCACGGCCGCTTCACCACGTCAAAATGCCAGCATAGAATGTAAAGTGGATGCATAATGCATGAGTGACGTTTGTATCTGATGGTATAAACAAAACTACATGATTGATTGATTGAACCCCACCGCTGGTTCAGCGCTCGGATATTGATCTATTCGCCCTTCTCCGACGGTCTTCTCCACTGACGCCGCGTCTCTAAGCCAATTTGGCGGGTTCTAACCTCCCCCTCAGTAGTTGGTACCTAGTTTCAAGCGGGTCCTAACCTCCCTGTCTGATGTTACAAGTAGGCGTTGGATGGTTTGGGAACATTATGGAGGTTCTAATCCTACATCCGAAATCCAGGATTGGAATGACTCCCCTAACGCCTAAAACTGCTTCCTTTACAAGGCCCATACCACCTCCAGGATTATTGCTTGGATCCCGGCATCCACCAACGATGAGTATCCAACGTCGGGAAGCTCCTGAAATGATAGCAACATCGCTGGGTGACTCGCATTCACCAAAAGTAGGAGAAGCCTCAATGTTCAAATCACGCAGATTGGGGACCGAGCTTTTTCGGTCCAGATTGTTTCATCCTGCTGATGCAATGATGATTATGCATCCACATCCTTCATGAGAACAAGAGAGAAGTGGGAAGGGAAGCTGTTGTATCTGCATGTGATGAGCCAGCCAATTGGTTGAAATGCAATCGAGGAAACACCTCACAATGGACGCTATTTAGCATCTTCTCAACATCCAAAGCACCATCGTCTCCGGGGGTGTTCTGTGGTGACGAGTTGCAGTTCAACCCATCGGCTTGGATCACCAGCTGAGAAACTTGTGAAACTTGCAACTGTCACATCTCTGTTCAGCATGAGAACTAAGAGACACACCACCCTATACATAGTATTCTTAGGTCGCCATTGCTGAGAATCCGGATCTTCGAAACTGATTTTCGTGGGTCCAAAGCCTGCCTGCTTCGGACTTTCTCACAAAGGGTGGGTAGATCCATCGCCCCGATGTCCGAGGCAGATCCATCGCCCCGATCGTCCTCTGGACTCTGCCATGAAGGGCTTGCCACCTGCCATCTGCAGATGGGAAGGATCCTTCTTCAGACCATACCGGCATCAAGTGCCTATGGTTCATGCAGAGTGAAAAATGCGTCAACTTCATTTTGTAAAGCTTCGACCCTAAGTTGATCCGAGAGTAAACAGAATGGATTAACAGGAGGTCAACTGTCCCATGGCTTTGCGGATTTACGTTTGAACCCACGGCCATTTGTGAGATACTTCAGACTCGCAATCCCCGCGCATTGGCCACCAAGTGGAACCAACCAGCGAGCTGGTCAAAGGGCGCAGCTTGGTCAGCTGGCACTACCTCAAAAGTCTCCTTGTGATGCACAACCAGATTCATTCACCGCCCGACTGCAACGGTGCGGACGGTCACTGCACATCAGCCCGGCTGTCTTTGGCGATGCATACTTTTTGGTGGTGCTCAACCCCTCTTGGTACCCACCATGAGTTTGTATCTGAAATGTGAATTTGCCTGAGCTACACTCTGACGTTGAAGGTTCTTTCTTAGTTTGGCCTCTGGAGATGATTATGAGGATATCACGGTTGAAAGCTACCAAAAAACGGTCGACGAAAATTAGGGAGAAAAAGAAGGGAATCTGGCAGAATCTTGCAGACCCCAGTTCTGCCCCCGTCTAAGCCAAGCTGACCCCAGTCGTGGCGGGTCCATCAGTGTTCGCCGCCACGGCACATCTATCGCCATCGGGTGACATCGGCCATCGGCTCCCATCCGCTTTTTTCCAAATCCTTTGTACTGAATCCCTGTGGCAAGTAAAAACGCTAGAGCAAAACCATTTTGCGGCAAAAACCTTAGATAGCTGTTGTTCCTGTCGTGTGTTCAAGCGCCAGTGGTTCATGACTGCATTTGGATAGAGCATGTTACTCTGGAAAAGGGGACCGCAAACCACATCTGCTAACCACATCAAGGGTGTGTTTGCACTGGGGTCGGTAAAGGGGTTGAGCACATGTATCATGTATGTATGTATGTATACATTTATGTGTATAAAATACATACAAACTGACAGAAAACAAATTCAACAGGTTCACCAAGCTGAAAGCACTGTGATTTTCCAGATTGCAATCTTGGGAGGAACCGATTCCTCTGTTCGCGCCTGAAAGCCCCGCTGGCGCCGCGCCAGCTCTGCCCACCGGTAGGAGCCTGGGCCCCGAGCAAAGATGGACACCATCTTTGGTTTACACCAACCTAAAAAGCTTTATTGTTACTAGTAGCGATGGCCTCCAACCTAATAGCGATGTCCTCCACCTAGTAGATTCTAGTTACTAGAACCATCCACTGCCTGAGCTGGTTGTAGCATTTTTCACCCAGAGACGTTTCGACCGCGTGGCGCTACACCAACCAACCAGGAGGGTTCGGGACCTAGATTCCCTAGATGTTCTCCCATGTTCAGGTGACCCGTGTGCGTCCCCTGTGCTTCGCCCGCGTAAGCGCACGTCGGTCGATGAGCGACGAATTGCCCTCACCGAGTTCACCGAGCCGCGATGAGGAGCGCAGGATCTCAGGAGGGTCTATAAACCGGGCTGGCACATAAAGTGTTTGGCCCGGTGTCTGCCAATTCTATCCCCAAGCCCTTTTGGTACTGAAGATCGGTTCAAAGAACTTGGGATCTTCCTCAAATTCCCTGAATCCTACTGCCGAAAGAAGAACTTCGGCACTACCCCAAATCAGGAAAACTGATCCAAGGTGGTTGAGATATATATATATATGTATAGCGTCCTTCAACAGTAGTGGGGGTCCCTTGGTGAACAAGGTCCAAAGCGCCTACCCGTTCACCACACCAAGCATTTTCTCCGCGGCATTCTTCGTCCGTTCGCGCCTCACAGTTTGCGACACGGCGGACAGACAAAGGGATGCGTCTCTCGGAAACCAATTCCTCAAAAAGTTCATCCATGGTGGATTTTGCACATAGAAGTGATGAGAAATGCCCTGGTCAGACCTCGTTTAGGTACCAACCCTCCAAGGATCGCATTCGATCAAAACAGACTTCCAGAGACAGAAAAACGGGGCACCTCAAAGCCACTCATTTTTTTGGAGGAACATGTCCAGAGGGTCTTTTTGAGGTCTTAGAATCACAAGCCTTTTGGTCATAGTTTCAGAAACTGTCCAAGACATCAAAAAGGAGCGTCTTAGAATCGATCCTGGAGAGTTGTTCAACAAAGTTGTTCAACAAGGCGGTGCGATTTCCGGATCCAAGGTGCAGATGGCGCAAGCTTGGCTGTCACGTGCCCCCTTTTCCAGCCTTCGGTGGATAGAGTGAAGGACACCACGGCTAGAAACTTAATTCATTCACGGCTAGAAACAGCGAGGGAAGGACATACATACATATTCATATGATTTGTGCCTTATGTACTTGTATGCCTAAATTTATGTCATCAGCAAGGATTGGCCCGACCAAGGTAGCCAGCACTGCAGTTGGAGGCTTGTCAAGCGAGTTCTCATCCATTCCAGTTCCCGTTCCATCAAGAACTCAGCACGACTGAATATCTGCAACCATGGGTCATGGGTTGGTTCCCGTGTGTAGTAGACTACCTGCTTACCTCTCAGGACCGTCCTCCTCTCCATCCCAAGGAGAGACCCTCACCTTCGACAGTTCAATGTGGCAATCTGATGCCAAGCTGCGACATGGCTGACCCAGCTGCAACGAAATCGCTGACATCCTTCGCTCATGGCACTCCACATGGCCACCGGCCGCACTCGGACGCAGCCGCCATCAGCAGCCGGGCTTTGCGGCCATCGGCGGCCGAGTCCAAGTTGAAGATAGAGCTTCCGGCGAGTTTGTAGCCCAATTGAGGTTGACTTATTCGTTCTTGGCCTTGGCCGCGAATGCGAAAGGCACACTCAAGAAATATCATCGGAGTTATGTGTTTTAGGTGAGATCTAGATAGCAAAAAACACAGATGTGTTCGGCGTCCTGAGCTCCTAGCGAAGCGATCACGGTACGTTGTTGATGCCTGCCCCAAGCAGCACACACAGCATGAAGAAGCTTCTTGAGCACTTCAGGTTCCAAAGAACATGCCAAGGCACACCGAATCTTAAGACTCTTGCAGTGCTGTCATCAAAGGCAGCAACGCGGGAGCCCAAAATCCGCACTTGTTCGCTACAAATCTGCTTCGCTCCAGGAAAAGCGGCGTCTCCAGCGCCTCCAGCGCCAGCGCCCGATTGGGCCCTATCTGGCCATCGCTCGTTGACTTCCGTGTGGGAAACGTAAAGCGGCCAGGTTGGGCAAAAGACATGGGCTACAGCAAGAACCAGGCGGTTCCTTTTCAAGGTACCTAGAATCCGCACTGTAGATTAGAACTCCATCAGTCCTTCCCTGATGGAGACATTGAAAATTCAAAACAAATACTCAGACGCTGAGTTTGTCAAGCAACTCCAGAACCTTTGCTTTCGATTCATCCCGAACCCGGCGGTAGGCAGACAAGTCACCTGGGTCAATGGCAGGAGGATCATCAAGGTTCCA